GACCTGCCCCCCATTCCCTGGGCCCCTAGGGTGATCCCCCCCCATTCCCTGGGCCCCTAGGGTGACCTGCCCCCCGTTCCCTGGGCCCATAGGGTGACCCCGGGACCTTTAACTCCCTGGGCCCCTAGGGTGACCTGCCCAAGCTCCCTGCCCCATTCAGTGCCCCCGGGGCGCCCGCTGACCTGCACGTTGGCGAGCTGGGCGCCGGCGAGGGGGCCGGGCAGGCGGTGGGTGGCACCAAGCGACTTGGGCACCAGGCAGGGGTACTCCGGGCCCCGGTACTTGTTTTTCACTGTCTGCAACGGGACGGGAGGTGGACGGGGAGATCGCAGGTACCACCCCCCCCCCCAGGGGACAGGGACCCACCCCGGCCTGCCCCGCTGTTCCCCCCGCGCCCCCCACAACTTGGGCCCCCAGGCAGGCTCCCGGCGGCCCCGGACCTTGGTGAAATTCCAGCGCTGGATGAAGTGACGGGCGACGTCGCGGGCGGCTCTGCCGTGCACGGCCACCCCCACGTCCCGCCAGGGCATCCGGGGCATCCGGGACCTGTCGATGAAATCTGACCCCCGGGGGGAGCCGGTCAGCAGGAGGGCAGGGGCCGGTCGGGTGACCCTTGACCTCCCCCCGCCCCGGATGACCCTAGAACCCGTGTCCAAAGAGCCCCTGGAACAATCCCCAGCCCTGCTTGTTGGCCATCCCGAATCGAAGGGACTTTTCTGGGCAACTCACTGGCTGGGCCTGGGTCACGTGGGCTGCAGGGTGGAGTTGGGGGTCAGACCACACCCAGTGGGGGAAGAGGGTGCTTTGTTGCTAAGGGGAGGTCCACTTGAGCTCCCTCAATGGAAGGGCACAGTTAAGGAGATGTAACGCTTTCACAGGAACAGTTAAGGGGATGTAATACTCTCAGGGGTACAGTTAAGGTGATGTCAAGTTCTCAAGGGCTCAGTTACCGGGGTGTAATGCTCTGACGGGTACTGTTAAGGGGATGTGATGCTCTAATGGGCACCGTTCAGGGGGTGTAACACTCTCATGAGCACAGTTAAGGAGGTGTAACATTCTCAGGGGCACACTTAAGGTGATGTAATGCTCTCGGGGCACAGTTAAGGGGATGTAACACTCTCAGGGGCACAGTTAAGGGGATGTAACGCTCTCAAGGGCTCAGTTACCAGGTCGTAACACTCTCAGGGACACAGTTACCAGGGTGTAACGCTCTCAGGGACACAGTTATGGGGGTGTAATGCTCTCAGGGGCACAATTAAGGAGGTGTAATCTCTCATGGGCACCGTTAAGGGGATGTGACGCTCTCATGGGCACCGTTATGGGGGTGTAACGCTCTCAGGGGCACAGTTAAGGGGGTGTAAAGCTCTCATACACACACCAGTGGCAGAGTTAAAGGGATGTAGTCCCTAGTCAGCCCCAGGCACCCACTGGCTGCCACGCACACTGCCAAGCCCAGCCCCCCCACCCCGGCCCTAACCCTAACCCCCCCCAACCCCCGATCACCTTCGAAGGGCCGGTCGAGCTGCACCCAGTCCTTGGTGATGAGGTTGCTGTAGTCCTTGCCCAGCCAGAGTTGCTGGTTGGCTGCCAGGTCGACGGGCAGCTCATCCCCAAGGAGCACCCCGCTCGGAGGGAGCCAGAGCCCGGCGTGGGGAGCGGGGTCCAGAGAGAGATGGGGGGAGGCAATCGGGGGGAGAGAAGCTTGGGGCCCTGGGGCAGGCGGCTCCCCAGGAGAGGAGGGGGCCGAGTGGGGGGCTCTGACCTTGGTGCCGGGGGGCAGGTCGGTGAGCCGGTAGTGGTGGTCGTCCCAGCGCCCGTAGGCCAGGTCCAGGCCGCCGAGAAAGGCCACGCTCTGGTCCACCACCACCAGCTTCTCGTGGTGAGCCCACAGGAACACGACGGACGAGACGTGGTCAGGGTGGCGCATCACCTGGGCCGGGGGGGAGACAGCTCAGAGACCCTTCGCCTGGGTCCCGTCTCCCCTCCCCGGGCCCACTGGGGGCGAGCGCCCTGCGCTGCCCTCCCGGACGCCTGGGTCCCATTCTCAGGGGCGAGCGCCCTGCG